TATTTGAGTAAAATTTTATAAAATTTTAATCATTTTTTTATTTAATTATAAGATAAAATATAAAATTAAAAAAATTCCAAAAAATTATGACTCATACTGTATATATATATATAATATAATTTTTAATATTATTAACTAGTTACTATAAATAAATTAATATTTAACTTATTTATATACAGTATAAGAAAAATATTGTTTTTTTTCAAATATATATTTTTTATTATATAAATCAAATAAAGAAATAATATTTATTTATTAAAAAAATATATTAAAAAAAATTTTTTTTCAAATAAAAAATACTAGTAACATATAATATTTTATTGAATTATTTATATTCAATTATATAATTATAAATTTATTTAAGTTAATCTGTTTTTTCACCTTTAATCTTATTTAATTATATTAATTTATTATTACTGAAATGAGTTAATATATCAGATAGAATCTTTAGGAAATAAAAATCCTATTACTAGTTTAAACCATCTAATCCAATTTAGATTCTAATAATTGTTGTTTGAAGTATATACTTTTTAAGATTGATTAAAATATTTAGATAATCTATTCAATACTTTTCATTTGAAATATCTGAAAAGATATTATATTTTTTATTACTATCTGCAATTTTGAATTTTTTTTTATTAGATCTTTTTCTTTTAAGCAAGTAATGGATTGAAATAACCCTTAGGCTAAAGTATTTTTTATACTATGAAATCTGTTGTATTAAGAGGATTGTAGGTTTTTATCAGAGTTAAATCAGAAATTTTTTCTTATATAATCTTTCCTGCTTTAACCTGTTTTTAACCTATAATTGTCAGAAAGATCAGAGGTTTTATCTTTATATAGCTTAATTAAATTTGATTAGAATTCAGATGTTCAAGTATAATATTTATAGAAAAACAAATAAATTTATAAATGAAAAATAATTTTATATATTTTATTTTCTATAAGTATTAAATTAAGAACATATATTTGAAAATCAGAAAGTACTACCTATTATACTATTAATTTATTAATTATAAATATATTAATTTTTTAAATAATAAAATAATTAATAATTTTTATTTGTTTTTTTTTTAAAAAAAAAAAATATTTTTCAAAAACATAAAAAGTATAAAAATTTTTTTTAAAAAAAATAAAAAAGATATCTTAATTTATTTATGTTTTTTTATTTTGTGTTTTTTTTTTTTTCTCAAGTATACTATTTGTAATAATATAATATATATTATATTTGAAACTTGAAATATCAAGTTTTTGATTTTTTCTAGGATATATAAATCATATAAAACAAGACACATAATATGTTAAATGAAATTCCAAAAATTATTTGATAATATTATAGTATAAATTCTTAAATTAATTAGAAAAGTAAAATGTTTTTACGTTTAGGGAGGTAACATTTAAGCTTTTAGTCATGTGAACAATATGAATAACGAGATGCTTATTTAATGAAATATCATATTAATGACATACACCATACTTGTTCTGATGATCAACTGAATTCATGAAATCCCATAAATCTTTCAATGAATCTATATGTGAAGACAAAGGTAAACTCCGATGCATGGGAACAATATCAACGTAAGAGGGACCTAACAGTGGGAAATTAAGGTTATTACAGTTCGCCAATTACTATTTTCCAATTAGCATATGACGTTTGACAAAACATTTTTATAAAGAAATATCGGATGCGGAGAAATCAGATGATAGTGGATATGTGAAGATCATTAGCGCACCGTGCTACATACATACATACATATCAGTGAACAAAAAAGTTTCTTTAATGTCAAAATAAAAAAGCATACCAAAAATTAACGGGACAATGGACAATAAATAATTAAAGCCTCCAAAGCCCTCCCCACTTTATGACGGGTATAAACACCATATAACAGGTATCACAATTCAGGAGTGTGTCAGGAATGAATTACCTAAAATGATATTACTCCTCTAATATACTATTAATTTGCTGAAGCGAAGATCCTTACATCACGTGTCTTAATGAAATTATTCATTTTAAAAAAGAACGACAACAGCAAAAATCTCATACAAACGTTAAAAACCATTTAATATAACAACCAAATAAGAAAAGAACATTCCATAAAGTAAGTCTTTAATAACAAGTTTATGAAGGCTTGGTTTATTATCTCCTTTAATGCCACTGGTGTGAAAATTAAAACATCATAATTTGGGCATCATCATGATAAAGAAAGGAATACCGATAAAGCTTATTGACAAATCTCATTCAGTTTTTCCAATAATTTTCTATGAAGTGGATCGCTCAGTATAAATAATCCTTTAGATGTCAAGATGCGATGTGTTGGCATCGATTGATATGTTCCAGGAACGATCTTTCCATTTCTCACTTGAACCACTCCAAAGATGTCTTCCGGGAAAGGTATGCGTCCCCTTGTTAGTAGTAGTAGTCAAAATTTTAATATGATGTCCACAAAAGCACTATAGTTTACAAGAATCAATGAAAAATAACCATGGTGGTGGATCTCGGGCATCTGCGTATTGCAATATAACAAAAGGTTAGTAAGAAATTACTCGCAAAAGATTCTAGATAATACAACATTATGGTCATACCGGCAATATTGAGCCAACTGATGAATCAAAAGAATATTTGATCAGTAAATGAATAATAAATAAAAATAGGAATAATAAATCTATATAGATATATTTCATTCATCCTCGGTAACTGACCCATCTTTTTGGTACTTGGCCAAAGCTTGTAATTGCAGGTCCGCGGTTGCTACATTATCTGCTATAACTTGATGCAGAAACTTTTCGAATTTTTTATTTTCTTTAAAACTTTGCAATTTTAATTTTGGTACTTTTTCATGAGCTGCTACCCAGCCAATTATTGCTATTTCATTCCTAGCAACTTTGCTAGGATCGGAAATGAAAGAAAGTAAGTAATTGGTCATATCATTCGTGAGGTGATAAAAGAGTCCTTTATAAGTCGAATCTTCGAAGGTTTCATTTGAATTATTTGAGAGCTGAACCTTTGAGGTAGTAAAAAGATCCCGATTATGCAAACGAGAAAAATAAAGCACAGGTCGAATGCCTTTGAAACGACCATGCGCATTCCCAAGTTTCATGAAACTCGTCATAGAGAGTAAAAAAAATACGTAACACGTACATAAATACGTAGTGTGCGATAATTATGTATCACGTGATAATGGCGTCAGCTAATACCTGAGAACATTTCAAATATCTCTCGTCTTCACCTTTCACCATGCCACAACTCGTAACAGCAGAAATAGAAGCGCCACCACCAATCCCAACAGATGATGTTGGTTATCTTGACGAAGCATATATAAATAGCTTGTCATTGCGCCTTCAACAGAACCCAAATTATAGACCCGCTTCAACTCAGGTCGCCGAGGATCTCCCTCTGCCAAGGGAAACTACTCAGGACGACACAGAAACTGACGTGACTGAGCTTGATGAAGACGATTGGGAAGAAATCCTTGAGCAGACAAAGCAGATCTTTGTTGCTTTTCTGCTTCCAATCTTAGGCAGGTGGCTAGGTCGAAAATTTTCATTTTGGGGTAAAGCTTCAGAATTTTTCAAGTTTCCAGTTATTTATGTATCTTTCCCGTATCACTTGTAAAACTTTTGTTCCTTACAAATGTGTTCCAGCATGGACAAGATTCGTTGAGTGGTACTATCAACCCCGTCTCACTGAAAAAACGGAAACGAACGCCTCAACCTAAAGCCTCACAATTTAATCCTAATAAAGACCCGGAAAACTGCTGCTCAATTGGATGAAAAAATGATTATCTATATCTATTTCTTTTAGGTTTCTGTGTGGTAAGATTTTTTCTATATTATTTAACATAATGCAAAAAATTAATTTAATTACATTCTTTCCTGTCTTTCTATTTGACAAAATAATACATGAAATGGTATGAAACATTTACCGATGTTCATTTATATCATTTAGATTCTTATTAAACTTATAACGAGATTTTAATATTATCCCTTTCATTGTTCTTTATGACCTCGGAAGAATTTTCCTTTTGAAAATGGCGACCATTGAATCTAACTTTCGTGGTGATATGTTAACGTATTGGTTCGATCAATATTTCTGTCACGATCACGTTATTGGATCCATCATTTTATAGAAGGGAAGCATTGAACTTATCTTGTCTATTTGATAAACGAATTCGCGACGAATCCAGAACAAATACCCTATGAAAGGTTAATAAACTGAGTTCCAGGGATGATAAATAGTTTTACACGGAGGAAAAACACGCGTATTTCATCATCACTACATAAATTTCAAGAATAGCACAGCATTAATGAACATGAAATCTTAAGATCGGAATCCGCTCTATGAATGAAAAGATTATAATATAAACATTGATAATAAATGTTTACATTCGCTTACCATAATACTATTCTACAATTGAAATATACAGTATATACGGCATATTTTAATTTAATTAGAAATTTATTTAAAAAAGATTAATTATTGTATATTAAATTTCAAAATAATTCTGATATACAAATATAAATAAAATTTATTAAGTATTTATTGTTATTTTGTTAAGGATAATTTTTTTAAAAAAAAATTTATTTATTTATTTATTTTTTTGGCAAATGGGCATTAGATACGCGATTTAAAAAAATTTTTTTGTTAATATTTAAGATATACTGTATATATACATATCTTTTTTTGTTCTTTGTTAATTTTAAAAGCAAATATTTTTAAGATATATATACGTATATTGATAATAAGTTTACATATCTTTTTGTTCTTTGTTAATTATACTAATACTGTATATTAATTAGTAGTATATATATATTCTATAATCAAATTAGTATATAATATATAAAATATATGTATATTGTATAAACTTGAATGTTTATTTTAGACTAATATTTCTAAATATGATTTGAAAATAAAAACAGTTATTTTCTTTGATATTTATTTATTTATGAAATTTAAAGTTAAAAATTTTATCTACAAATTATTACTATAGTTTATTTGAACAAAATTTAAATTATTTTTATAATAATAATTATTTTTTTTCTTTTTAGTTTATATTTAATCAAACTCTTTTCCACTTTCTCTTCTATGCTTAAAAATTTCCTTTTTAGAAAACTTTTTGAGTTGTCTTTTTTTCTTGCTTCTTCCCTTCCCCTTTTTTGATTACAAACCTTTTATTCTCCTCTCTTTTTTCTCTCCCTCCTCTTCTGTCTCTTTTCTTTATAATCTTTCTCTCCTTTTTTCTTCTTTTTTTCCTTCTTCCCTATCAAAATTAGGTTTTTCCTTCTTCCTGAAGTTTTTTCTCTCTAGGTCTCTCTTTCTTTTCAAGAATATCATGCTCCATCTCATCACCTCTCTGGCCAGTCAACTCCATTTTCTTAAGGAAAATATAAGAAGTGACAACCTTCTCCAAGAAGTGAGTTCTGACAAGTGTTTCTCTTTCATATATTTTTTAGAAAAAGGACGGATGGTTTATCTCCTTCAAAAGATCGATATGATCATCATTACCAAATCTGACATTATTTACTTGTTAATGGCTAGACTAAATACATCTAAAAAACTGATGCATATTATTATTGGCCAAATCTTTAGGTTCTGCATCTTATGGAAATCTAGTAGGACAATATGTGAAGACCAGGGATTCTAGTTACTTCCGCAAACAGAGCTAGTAATGTCAATTGCTCATTCCTTAACAATGTAGGTCTCTTGTACAAGGTTAAGTAACAATGTCTATAAGAAAATCCAATCCAACTCTATCCATTGGACACTTCCGCTATATTTGGATAGTGGATATATTAAATCCTTTTTGTGACTTGAAGGCCAACCTGCATAAAGTAGCTGTAGTGCTTTCATGCTTTAAGGTAGTGACAATTAATTCAAATCTGACAGTAATGTCATTACCAATTCCTTTTGTCGTACATCAAATCATATTTGGAAAGCAAGGGTACTAATTCTACTCATGACTTGGAGGCCTACCTGTGAAAACATAATTGCAGCACCTTCATGTGTTTAAGTAATCAAACTATCTCTAGGAAACTAGATGCTACTCAAGATGTTTATATAGTGCGAACAGCTTAATCACATCAAATGGCTAAGCCACCGCTGAAATTTGTGCCGATCTCTATATATATAAAACAACGTGATTTTATTGGTTAGAATGTAAAGAGCCAATCATCCAATCAAAATTAATTATTGATATTACTGGCTGCTTTCTCGATAAGATAAGTTTAGATGCATTTATTTTGATTTACATAGTTAGTTAATACTATCCAGATTTAACAGTTTCAATACTGAAACGAAGTAAATGTGCAAGACTGGCTCGGGAAGCTATTAGGAAACTTTGGAAACAAGCTGAAAGTTCTGAGCCATCAGATGCTGAACCTGATAAGTATAATGAATGTTTTAGTACTTTTTGGATAGAAGGTGAGGAAAACCGCTTGGATAGTGATGAAATTATGGATCAATTGCAAGCGTTGCAACCTAATGTGCTAGAACAACTAGTTGAAAATGCAAAAAAGTCAGGTGTATGGACTACAAACTCATGTGAACCAATATATAAGGGAGCTGCACAATCGACATTGTGCAACAAGAGAGCATATTGGCAAAAGGTGGCTTCAGGTTCTAAAAAAATCACTGATATGTTTCCAATGGGAGAAGTTGCCAAGCTCAATACAAAGAGTTACAATCTTACATTCAAAGATACATACAATAGCAGCGACGACGATGATAATGAATTTACATTAGAATCTCTGGATTTATTATTAAAAAAAAGAGTGATGATTTGCGGCTTCGAACAGTAAGTCAATTTCTCTATCTAATTCAGGAGGGATTTTCCAAGATGGATGCAAGTAAATTTCTTGCCTAGAGCTTGAACAAAGGTCCATAGCATACATGGCTTATTTGCTCTTGGACGAATCAGTGGTTAAATAATGGTATGATTATTATATCTAAACGTGACTGCCATGCAAAAATCAGATCTCTCCTTCTTCATGAAAATCTCAAATTACGAGTTACTTAATATTTGTACACACACAAGTTTATATTAAAGATCGCTGAATTTGTAAAATTCGTTAAGGATGAGGTTATCCCTGCTCTTGGAATAGAAGAAAAGACAACAATCTCACACACAACTGCACGTGAATGGTTACATGTGCTCGGCTGGAAATATAAAGATTATTCAAAGAATATCTATTTTGACGGTCATGAGCGTGAAGACGTAATAGCAGATAGGCATCGATTTTTGCAACAATAGGCAGAATTACAAAGACAAATAGCTATTTATGAGGGCAACAATTTAGATCATATTATCCCACCTATACTTTTTCCTGAGATCGTTCCTATTACCCATGATGAGTCAATCTTTTATACTAATGATGGTATTGTCAAGGCATGGGGTCCGGAAAATAAGAGTCAGCTTCGTCGCAAGTCGTAAGGCCTTAGTATTCATATAAGCGACTTTGTTTGCGAATCTGTTAGATATCTCTGGCTTTCAGAAAAGGAATGTACCATTAACGATTCACTTCCTAATGATAAGTAGCTTGTATACATTGAAGCCTGCATCATTATGTATCCAGGTACGAATCATGATAGCTGGTGGACAAATAAAGATGTCATTAAACAAGTAAAAGAACGTGCTATTTCAATATTTGAACAAACTCATCCAGAAAAAATTGCATTGTTCTTGTTTGATAACAGCAGCAATCACAATACATTTGCTGATGATGCATTAGTGGTTTCAAGAATGAACATGAAGGATGGCGACAAACAACCACTCCTTCGTAATGGCAAAAAGCTTGATGGCTTACCTCATATCATGACATTTACGAATGTTGATGGTATGGTAAAACCTAAAGGTATTCGGCAAGTTCTTGAGGAGCGTAACTTGTGGGTACCGGATTCGATAAGAAAATGTGATGCATATATACAACATAATCCTGATCCAACTAAACTGAACTGTTGCACAACACGTATTCTTTCTGTTCAACCTGACTTTGCATCACAAAAGATGCACCTATAAGAGGTAAGTTGCAATTAGTAAAAATTATTCGTGACAATTTTAACTAATATCTTTTTAGGTTATTGAGATGGCAAAACATATATGTATGTTTTACCCAAAGTTCCACTACGAACTTAACTATATTGAGTCATTCTGGGCAGAGGCAAAGCAGTATTCACATCTCCACTACGATTATACATTCAAGGGTCTTAAGGAAGTTGTACCAGATGTATTGGATTCCATTAGTCTAACAAAAATTCACCGATTTGCACGTTGTTCTGCACATTATATGAGTGCTTACGAACTTGGACTTTCAGGTAAGGCAGCTGTTTTTGCAGTGAAGCGGTCTCGGTCTTATTGTCGGATTCCTATAAATGTTTTGGAAGAATTTGGTGATATCAATTAGTGTAAAATAATAAACGAAAAAAAATAAATACAGTACTATAAGGCTTGGTGATAGAAACAATTTACAGTATAAGATACTATGAAGCTTGATAACATAATAGTTTACTATAGATTCACGTATTTACTCGCTAAAGTGATATTGACGACGCTGCCCTAACATAAAACACTGAGATTTCGTAATTTAATGCATAATGCTCTATAAGAGAGATACGGCCTAGATATCCTTCGTGCACTTATAAAGAAAGGGCTATTAGTTAAGTATTGCAAAGAATCGAATTTTCAAATTACGTCAATATGAATGAAGAACGGAAATTCTGATCCCCTATCATAATCGAATGAATGTGACACAAAAATATACGAGCAAATGGGTAGGTGCATTTATAGAGAATTAATTTTTGGATTAGCAAACTTTGATTTCATCCTCACATAGCAAGTATGTCATAATAAATTTATTCGGAATTATTTAAAAAACAATAAATTAATCTATTCTTCATTATACTGTATATTACATGTTTGTATGATTATGAAATGTAATGATATTTTTAAATGATTACGAGTATTTTACACATAATAACATTAACCAGGAAATCTCAAGATCGAATTAATCAACCTAAAATGCTTACAAATAGAATGGGGTGAATTATCGAATTAATTAACCTAAAATGCATACAAATGGAATGAGGTGAATTATCGAATGTTTTGTTTCTCAACATTTTGTATTCGGTGACTTGCTTTCGATGTGATCGCCGGCCTTTAGCAACACGGAAAAATTGTGATATGATTTTTTGAAAAATGGTTTGGTTTTGTGGTTCGTTGAATTTGTAGAGATTTTTTCATTCGGTTGTGTAGCTTTTGAACCCAGTATGTATCCGTTTTGCTTGTTCTTCTGTAGGTTAGGTACACCTGTTGAATCTAAAAAGTTCTCGAAATCAGTCATGAGTGAACGATAAAAAAAAAACAAAAAACACAAAAAACAAATCCAAGCATTGGTCAATCTGTTCTTTGGTTAAACCACACAACAATCCTAGGTCACGAACGGTCTTCCCAGATTTATCCTTTAATTCAACGTTTGTTCCCACCACAACTAGAATTTGACAAACATTAATGTGCTTCTGGCTAATTGCTTCATACAGTGGGGTCCTACGGATTTGAAGAAGATGAAGTTTCAGAAATTATCATCTATATATCCATTTAATAAACTAGAACGTACCAATCGTTTTCACCCTTTGCATTGGCATCTGCTTCCTATGTTAAGAATACTTTTACCATCTTGATGTGCCCTGACCTGGCCGCACGATGCAAAGCCGTGCTACCTCTATGTTTTCAATAATAACATTAGGACACCAGAGTATCAATGACCGCTCGATCGTGACTAATATTAAACGGATCAAACCTAAGGTCCTGTTGGTTGACGTTGGCCCCCGCATGAACGAGGTCCAACGTAAGCATTATATCATGTTGCATAGACAGGCAGAATGAACTACTTGCAATATTCGATCTATCCATTCTAGGTATCGAAAATCAGACATCAGTAATGTTAAAAAATTCAATCGAGAGAATAAATGTAGACCAACCTTGACAGTAATATCTTCACAATCTCAATATTACCACTGACAGCCGCAATGTTTAGCGGTATCACCCACTTGTCCTTTGCATAAATTTTCATCTCTTCCTTGACCTTCTCGGCTTTCACATGCTTGCTGCCGATTTGACGCGAGATACTTTTATGTGACGTTTTAATGGATCCTGCTAAATTTGATATATTCGATTTTCTTGCCTTTAGCCTCTTCAGCATATTAAATTGCTCATATGGTAACCCTTGCGAAGGATCAGCTCCATGTTTAAGAAAGATCTTCATTAAAATTGTGGCATCGGAGTCCGATTTTGCATATGATGTTGGGGTTGCCTAAGTTGTGAGGATTATCAATGGCGAGAGGCCAAACCATGTTTGGTTTACATTGGCTCGCTATGAAAAATCAAAGGTGTTCATCAGTCGCTTACTCCAAACTTCATTAAATATAATAACCATGATCGCTGAAAATACTTTAAATATTGCTTGTATCAGTTTATATAGTTCAAGAGCTACCGATAAAATAAAGTAACTCAGAAATTTTATACTGGAGATGCCACCACGTTCCGAATTCTTCGTCTGCTTGACAAATATTGGGGAATTCACATCACCCAGAATTCTGCGTTCATACATAATCAATGTGATATCTCCATCTGATTCGCCATGGCTATCAATAATGTCCAATTTGCTTTATTGGGTCTTTTCTTTTTCAGAGCATGACTCGACAAATGTGTAAGTATTGTCAAAGCATTGGAAGTTTTGTGATCACGAATAGCTAACAAAATTATTCAACAATACTTTTTTTTGACAAACAGATGTTATTGGATTTTAGTAATATCTAAAGTACATTGGCTAAATTTGATGAAAAGAAACAACATACCAGATGAGGTTTTTTTTTTTCCTTTTTTGATTCCAAGAAACTTTAACGCTGCAGCACCCGAAGAACCTTGCTTAACTAATGGGATCGATGATCGATAGCTTATTAAATCTTTGGTTTTAGAAAGTTTTCTTTTTGGAAATGTGATGATTTATACATAAAGATTAATTTTCATAAAAAAAGAATAAATGACCAAAAAGACATACACATTTCCTTGCCAAAATAATCAAAAAAAAATAATTGAAACAAAAAATTAAATCTAGTAGCATTAGAGTTTAAAAAATTAAATTAGATCATGATTTTGTGACAGCCATAATATGTGCTATCAAATATGACGAACATATGATTTATCTATTGCGATTTAGCCAATCATATACAGCCATATAATAATAGACGTGCCAATTATGTTTTTGCACGTGATACCGGAGGTGCTGAAAATCTGGTCATTACTATTAAAATTGACGTTAGAAAAATTCTAACTACAAATAATTTTTATAATACAATGAACAAAAAAAATACGTCACGTTATAGAACATATCA